TTTTTAAATATCAATTTAATTCAACTTCACCCGATACTTAATATCTTCTCAACTAGTACTCAAATTCTCTAACTCAGCTCCATTAGTTCAAAAAATAAACTCACAACTACGTCCAACGCCTCCTAATAGTTCTGACCAAGCACTTTTAGTAATAACAACAGCTCCCGCATTATTAGACTTAGGTCGGTAAGTAATGCTAGAACCCGGGGCAGCCACAAAGGCTATATCTCGCACGAAGGTGCGCTCAGTTCAACCTGCCATATCACTTAGGTTCAGGTTAACCACTCCGGCATCTTTTCTCACTCTTAGTTCTAAAAAGAGTCAGCCTGGATACTCCGGAACTCGGTGCTGCCGGAAAAAATCTTTTAATCATTGTTCAGAAGGAATATTAGTCAGAGATAAAGCCCGAGTTTGGCGATAAACGGCTAAATATTCTAAATCTTTGGTCTGTTCTTTTATTTTTCTTTCTAAATTAGCCTTAGTTGTTTGAGTCTTATTTAAGTCTCTTTGGAGATTAATAAGCTGGGCAGTTAGTTCGGTGTGGCTAGCTCATAAATGGGCTTGGCAACTTTGTCAAGCTTGTAAAACTTTCTCTCTTAACATACTCTCTTAACATACTCTCTTAACATACTCTCTTAACATACCTACTCTAACTTCTCACTTAACTCTTGAAACTCCTTTAATAATTGCTCTAAAACTTGTTCATTAGCAGTGTTTTCTTTTAAAGATAATTCTAATTTCCTCTGGCTTTCTTGTAATTTAGTGTTAGTTTGGGTAATGATTTGCTGGTTAGTGGCTAATTTCTTAATAATTTTCTCTTTTAAAGTAGCAAACTCTTTTGCTAAGAGTTCTAATTTTTGTTTTAACATATTTTTCTATTTAGTTTTTGGATATTAGTAATTAAGCTATCAATGGTGCTTTCTAGTTCTTGGGTATCAGTTGACTCAGTTTGGGCAGCGGGTTCATATTCTTTGGTTGGTTGCTCAGTTTGGGTGCTTTGGGTCTGGGTTAAGGGCTTAATTTCCGAGCTGGGACTTAATTTCTTTTGCTGGGGTAAGTAAATAAAAAAGTAATAAAGCAGAGCCAGAACTAGGGCGTAAAATATTAGGTCATTCATATTTAGTTCTTGGTGTAATAATATCGAGGGGTATTCTTACTGAATAATCACAAGGCTAAGAGGTAAATCAGGGCAATGGTTAGTAAAAGTGAATAATCGGGACTAAAAGTAGAGTCAGTGGTTAATAAAGAGTTAGTGGGTTTTTTTTGTTCCGTTAAAATTGGCTTACTAGCTAATTCGCTTTCTAACTCAGTCTTTTTCTCATAATACTCCCCAAACTCTTTAATCTTGCTTAATCTTAATGCTAAAATTTGGTCTTCTAATTGGCTAATCTTTTTCTTTAAGTCTGTGTTTTCAGCTTGGTAAGCACTTAACTCGGAATTGTTTAAAGGAGGAGCTGGCGGAGGAGTGGGGATGTCACCCAGTGATTTGGAGCGTTTTAAATGAGAAGGTTTGACTCCTTCTTTGATTTTTTCTTTTAACTCTTTTTGCAATTCTTGTTTAGTCATGATTTAATGGCGAGGTAATTCCGTTAGTTGGCAGATTCAACAAAGATTAGAGTTAGGTAAAGATTTTCTTTTTTGGCAGAGTAAACATTTAGCCATTTTTCTTTAACTTCTCAATCTCTTGCTTCAATTCGTCGATCTGATGCTGCTCTTTTCCGTTTTTCTTTTCTAGAACTATTTGTCTTAAACGTAAACGAACGGTATAGCCAGCAAAAATAGCCAAAGAGATAACGTTAGTTATCCCTAAGAGCAGGGCAATCTCACAGCAGGTAATCATTATTTCTTATCGGTCAAACAACCGATAATATCCGCTTGTAAATAATGGCCTAAACTCTGACCAAAAGCTTTATAATTTTTGGCTAATTGCTGAACTAGTTGCTGTTTATGTTCTTGTTGAGCTTGGGCAACCTGACCTTTATTACATTTACAGTGATGGGCTAGTTGGGTAATCTTAGTTTTTGGGTTTGAAGAGTTAGCAATTTGGTCAATTAGGCAATCATAATAGGCAAGAGTATTTTGTTTGGAAGGAACGGGACGGGATTTAGTCGGAGTTTTAACTGGTTTAGTTTTTGGAACAGATTTTTGCGTGGTTGGCACGACAATTACTTGGTTTTTTTTATCTTTTTTTATTCTTGACATATTTTCTTTAAATATTTTCTCCTACGAGGCTTAAATAGTTCTGATATTGAAAGGCAAAAAGGTTAAGGCAGTATTAACGAAGGTTTCCAGGGCTTGTTGGGCTAAAATGCCACAAAAAACCGCTAAGGCTGAGCAAAAGATTATGGTTCCAGTTGACATAATGTTTTAAAAAAATTCTCCAAATCTCTTAAATTGTCCTTGACCAGTATTTATCCAATGACGGATATAAAAACCAATGACCAGACAAATGGAGAATCAGATTATACCAGTAGTTTTGGACATAATTTATTCAGTAGTTTCTAGGAAAATTTCACTGACTTTTCCTTTTTTGTTTTGGGATAACTCATAGACATAAAGTCCTAAGTAGCCCACTAAAATGCCCACGGCAATATATTTTAAATTCTTCATATTGTTTTTCTTTCTTTGTTAATAAAATTAATAAAGAACTAGTAAACTAGTTTCATATTTTTTAGTTAAATTTCTTTTTCGATAGTTTGGTTGGCCAATATTCTCCTGAGAACAAGCAATTTCTTGGATTCAGGAGAATTGGCATTCTTCAATAAATTTCTTATTTTTCCTGGTCATCTTTTCAAAAATAAGCAATCGCTAATAACAAGAATATTCCCACTCCTAAGGCAATGGCTATTTTTTGGGTGCGTTGACTAAAAGCAATATTTTCTTTGAGTAAGTTCTCATAATAAGCAGATTTGCCTTCGACTGTTTCTTTAACATTTTCTTCATAAAAGCCTTTGAGTGAGCCTTTTAAGTCGGGTAAATAATCTTTCCAGTTGACCATGTTAATTTGCTTCTTGCGACTTAATATAATGATAAACAAAGATTCCCACCACAGCCGTAGCAATGAGGGTATAAGTAATCAATTGCGTAGTCTCCGAGTTATTAGGCTTAATCGCGGTTAAACTAGTGCTTAATTGTTGAACGGTGCTAGTGAGATTGCTCATTAGAGTTATTTGGTTGTTTTCCATAAGTTTTAACTTGTTCTTGTCGTTGCTGAAATTTAGCCAGATTATCAGGGATTACGGAATTTTCCTCTCCTGATTGCTCAGGATTAGAGGTTAAAGGCTTATACTTTCAATACTCTTGTCCTTGGCTATCTTTTCGTAAATAGCCTAGATAGCGACGATTACCAACTTTGGTAATTAAGGCTCCCTCTATTTTCTTACTTTTTCAGGTTAAAATGCTGAGACGGTCCGTCAAGAAAAAATTGGGGTCTTCGGCTAAGATTTCTTGGCAAGTGCTAATAACTAGCTCTTTAAGGTTAGAGTTATTGAGTTGGTTCATAGCAGTAAGGATAGGAATTTAGTGGGTGCTAAATTCTCTTTTGTCATCTTTGTCAGTTTCGTCTTTTTTGTTGAATAGTTTACCAGTTACTTTTTGGATGATACCACTTTTGTAAATAAAGATACCAGCCGCGATACCAATCGCATAAATGGCTACTTTACCAGTCGCTCAGGACATTAAGGTATTTTCGTTTTGATTTTCGGGATTATTAGGTCTTGTCATATTTTTTTTATTTGCGTAATTGTTGGACTACTAAATATACGATGGAAGCATAAATAGCCACGGCCGATAAACCAATGGTCGCACTTCAAAACATCTTTTTAGCCGTATATTCTAAGTGTTCTCGGTACAGGACATTACTTTGCTTGCTAGTAAATTGTTCGGTTTCGTTTTCTGAGATTTCTTTAGCCATATTTATTTTGGTAATAATTCTTTTAATAATGTGTTTTGTTCTTCATCCTTACTTTGTAAGGCTAAAAGAATACTTCGTATTTCCTCTAACAGGGCGATGATTTGAGCTTGATTTTTTTGCTGGTTGTCTTTAAATTCTTGGATTTCCTTAGTTAAAGGAGTGATATCAGGGAACAGGGACATGTTAATTGGTTTGATTTTCTAAATTGTAATCAATCTGTTTTCTTTCTCGTTCGTGCGAGAGACGAATGGATTTGATGCTGTTTACTTGCTGAATTAAATTAGTGAACTGTTGACTAGCACTATTTTCTAAATTGCTTAATCGTTGGT